AAAAATATATTTTATTGATTTTACAGAGAGGAAGGGAGAGGGGTAAAACGTTAGAAACTTTGATTAGCTGCCTCCTGCACACCCCCTGAAACCAAGATACATGCCCTTGACAAGAATTGAATCTGGGACCCTTCAATCCACAGGCCAGTGCTGTATCCACTGAGCCAAACCAGTTAGGGCTTTGATAGATATTCTTATCATTGATATATCACCATAATTTGTCCGTTTTAATAAATGTTTAGTTATTTCTAACAGCTGGTACAAACATTTCTATATAATTCCTTGTATGTATATAAGTGTTATTTACCTTTGTGAAAAATTCAGTGCAAAGTCTGGTTTTTTTGAGTAGACGTATGTTTAAATTTACAGAGATTAGCAAAGTGTGATCTCAATGGAATATACCACCAGGGCCGGTGTGGCTCAGTGCTTGGCCATGATCCCATGCAGCACAGGGTTGTGGAGATGATTGCCAGTGGGAATATGTGCCTGAGCTGTGGGCTAGATCCATAGAAGTGGGTGTGCAGGAGGCGGCTGGCCTATATAGCACTCTTCCATCAATGTTTCTCTCCCTCTCCCTTCTCTCTCTAAAAATTAATAAACTATTCTTTAAAAATAAAAAATAAACTTCAACTGATTGTACTTTTTTACATTTTTTCAGCATTGTATTAAGGATTCACAGTGTCCACATCCTAGAGAATTATTTGTTCGGTCAATCATAATTTAACGTGTGTTTTGGTTTTTTTTATATAAATTGTTGTGCTGCCTCACTGTTTGATTGTATTTTTTGTAGGATTTTATGGTGAGCCTTTTCTCAGAAATGTATTTGCTGAGTCTATTTGTTAAAACATCTTACCATATGCTCTGCCTAATGTGTTATGAGTTTTCGCAATTTTCTTTAAAAATAGGACAGTGGAACAACAAAGATCTATGTTGGAATTTCATTCATTTTGTGCCTTTTTTACTTTAGGAAATAAACGTTTTTTTGTATTGGAATAATATGTTTTAATATTTATTACTGAAGAAAAATATTTTAATTGCCCTACCTGGTTTGGCTCAGTGAATAGAGCGTCAGCCTTCCGACTGAAAGGTCCCAGGTAAGCTTCTAGTCAAGAGCACATGCCCAGGTTGCAGTCTCAATCCCCAGTGTGGGGACTGCAAGAGGCAGCCAATCAATCATTTTCTCTTATCATTGATGTTTCTATCTCTCTCTACCTCTCCCTTCCCCTCTGAAATCAATAAAGATATTTCAAAAATATTTTCATTCATTTAAAAAATATTTTTATTGATTTCATAGAGCAAAGGAGGTGGAAAGAGAGAGGGAACCATTAATGATATGAGCCCAGGGCACATGCGTGGTCCCTATTAGATCCCCAGGAGGGGCTTGCAGGAGGCAGCTTATCAATGATTGTCTGTCATCATTGATGTTTCTATCTCTCTGTCCCTCTCCCTTCCTCTGTGAAATCAATAAAAAAGAAAACTGAGTTCCTAATCTTCAAAAAGAAAAATAATAAAAGAAACATCAATGATGAGAGGGAATCATTGATCGCTAATTTCTCCATACCCTACTGAGGATGGAGCCTGCAACCCGGGCATGTGCTCTGACTGGGAATCTAACTAAGGACCTTTTTGTGCACAGGTTGAAGCTGAAGCACTGACCCATACCAGCTGGGTGATTTATTACTTTTTAAATGCTATACCCTGTGCAATGAACATTTTTTTAAAATATATTTTATTGATTTTTTTACTGAGAGGAAGGGAGAGAGATAGAGAGTTAGAAACATCGATGAGAGAGAAACATCGATCAGCTGCCTCCTGCACATCTCCCACTGGGGATGTGCCCGCAACCCACGTACATGCCCTTGGCCGGAATCGAACCCGGGACCCTTCAGTCCGCAGGCCGACGCTCCATCCACTGAGCAAAACCGGTTTCGGCGCAATGAACATTTTTAATTTTAACCTGCACTATTAACATTCTCCATTGCTTTCAGAACACTAGTCAGCTGATCCTGCACTAAGCCCTTGCTTTGTCATCTTCTGCATTTTCCTTGTCTCCTGTCATGGGGGTTCTTGGGTTGGAACAGTTCTCTCAAGAAGGCCAGAGGACATCTGCGTGGGCAGGTGATTTAGAGTCCCAAAGCCAATGCAGTGGGAGATGGGGGCAGTGATCAGACTCACTTTGCCCTGGATCAGGCATCCTAGATTTGAATTTCAGGTTCTGTATTATCACTGGGACTTACAATGACATAACCCTTTCTGCTGGTCTAAGGCCGTTTCCTCCTGTGAAAAACAAGTATGAGGTATGTCCCCATGCCAGAGCTATTGGAGAAGGTCCAGTGGTAAGGTGTCCACATGCAGTAAGGCAGCTGTGCCTGCAGCCTGCCTTGGCTCCAGCAACTCCAGCCACTCCCTGCAGAGACATTCCCAGGCAGGCACTCCTCACTCCCCCGATGCCTGCAAGCACCTTTGTCTTTGGGTGCATTTTAGTGAGAAATGGGACCTATAAGAAGCTGCTGACTCTGCTGCAGGGAGGCAGGTGCTGTGCCACTCAGGTCTCATTGTGGTGTGTCCCATATCAAATTGCTGAAAAAGTTCAGTGTCAGAGAAATGAAGTCAGCTCCCCAAGTTTACACCACAGACAAGTGTCAGGTTCAAGAGACTGGATTTTAACCATTTTCTCCAGCGTCAGAAAGAGTCTCTACCACTGATGTGGAGCCCTCACTGGAGGAGGTACAGTATGAGGACCAGTGTGGCTCAGCTGCAGCTCCTGTTTCCATAGTTACAATTATGCTTTTCCTTCCATTCCCTTTACATCTCAGAGCACTTACCCTTGGCCTCCCCAGGTTCAGGGGAACGCCATTATTTCTCAGCTGCAGTGGTTTCTGCAGGGGAACCTTCTTTCAGAGTGAGCTGCTGTTTGTCTACCTTCCCTTTGATCCCAGCACTGGGTTTGACCCTCAGGAGACCTTGGTAATTAGGGCTGGGTCTCTGCACCTTTGTCCACATGTTGGGTGTCATGCTGTGACCCCTTCCACTGATGAATTTGATGCCTCAGCTTGACCCTTTAAATGATGTTCCTATGTGGCACTGACATTCACCCTGCAGGAGTGGATACAATTGGACATGAATTTTGGGACCTAATATTTGGAAGTGATGCTGGAGTTCTGCATGTTCTTGGTCTCATTGGACGGATGTTCACTTCTTATTCATGCATAGGACCGACTGGCCATGTGATTCCATCCTCTATATCCCTACTGGCTGAATGAGAATGGCTCTCACCATGTGTTCCCTGCAGCCCGGATCACGTTCTGGACCCCCATCCTCCTTCCCAGTCTCCTGTGTCTTCACCTGGATCTTTGGGTTGGAA